AAAAAAAAAAAAAAAAAATTAAAAAAAGTTTAATGATAGTAACTGAGCTTTGGCTGTTTTTGTCACCTGGCTGGGTCTGAGGGTCCCCAGGCTGAAATAAGGAACCTAACCTAACCTCAGGTAGAGTAAACTTGCAGGTTCAATGACTGCTCTTGGCAGGGGGAGGAATTCAAGCCGGCAGTTACAGACTCAGGCAGGTTTTCGTTAGGCAGAGATTTAGGACCTCCTCCAGAGTGAAAGTGGGTGCTCAGAGAAATGAGAATTGTTCTTTCTTTTCTTTTTTTTAGCGGTACCAGGGATTGAACTCAGGATCTTGCACTTGCCAGGCAAGTGCTTATTCTGCTGAGCTGTCTCCCCGGCTCAAGAATTGTTATTTTCTACAACAGGGAATGTTTATGCTTCTCTTGAAGGGTGGAAACCCTGGGAGAAGGCAGGCCAACCCCAGGGTGTGTGCTGGTTTTTTGTTTTTTCTTAATTTTTTATCTTAGGTTCAGGCTCCTTCTTTACTTTCTCTATTAAGCCAATTTATGGGCTTGCTGTAATGCCTGAGGAATTTAGAGTGTGGTGGGCCTGGTTAGGGAAGGAGCCTAAATTTAACCAAAGGAATGCTGATATGAATTGCCTTGGGTGATTTCAGCTGCCTCCAGCAAGTTGCAGTCTTTTTTTTCCTGGCAGAACTGGGGATTGAACTCAGGCCCTTACGCTTGCCAGGAAAGCGCTTATTCCACTGAGCCATCTCCAGGGCCCCTTCTTCAAAAGTACAAGTTTTGATTAGGATTTCTGCATTTGGTTTCTACCTTTTATTTCTTCTAGCCTAACATGTTTATAGAAGGCCTCTTAGCCAGTTAACTGATTAGGCTGTAAACAACTAAGGAGTCACACTGTAACCACTGACTGACTGACAAAAACAATGTAAATTGTTTTGTTTCACCTTCATCTGTTCTCTGAAGTCTGTCTCATTCTGGGGGCCAGCTACAGTTCTAGAGGCTGTATGTTTTGTTAATCACTTTGGTTTAATTTTGTTTTGCTCAAATAAACTACACACTTTAACTGGTGAAAAGAATTTTCCTACTTAGCTTCATGAAACGGTGAAACCTGAAAAGATGAGCTATGAATTAGCAAGAAAAAAACTGCTTTATTTTTTTTTTTAAATTGTACTTTTTTTTTTTTTTTTTTTGTGGCTGGCTCAGCCCATGCTGGGAGCGGGGCTGGCCTGGCATGTGGTGCCAGGGATGGAACCATGGTCCCTAGGCTTGCCTAAGCTTGCTTAATAGGTGCTTTAGACCACTGAGCTATCCCGCTGGCTCCAAGAAACTGCTTTACCAAAGAAAAAACAAAAGGAAAGGGCAGAGCCAGTGGTACTCAACCGGGGGCCACACTTGCCACCCTAGACACATCTGAGAACCCCTGGGAACACCTGGAGATGTTTTCTGCTGTCACACCTGGAGAAGGGACGCTGTTGCTGCCACCTAATGGATACTGCAAACATCCTCCAGTGCACAGGATCATGCGTTTCGATAACCTGGCCTGAAACATCAACACTGCTGCTGGTGAGAATTCCCGAGCTGGGCACTTGAGACTGTTAGGCAGGTTCAGTTATTCCCCGTCCCCCCAACCCCCACCCCGATTGAGCCCTGGGCCTTTACACTGAGCTACATCCCCAGCTGCCCACCATGAGCTCAAATTTTAATCCTTCTGCCTCAGTCTCCCGGTATGCATCCCCATACCTGTCTTAATCTGATTTTTTTCTTTTCTTTTCTTTTTTTTTTTCGAGACAGGGACTTCTTGAGCAATTCAGGCTGGCCATTAGCTCACATTATAGCCCAAAGCGGTCTTGAACTCACAAGGATCCTCCTGCCTCAGCCTCCTGGGATTACACGCATGCACCACCATGCCCAGCTCCTTAACGGATTCTTATGGAGGTTCGTGGCCAAATGAAGCTGATGCACCCCTGAAATCCTAGGGCAAAGGGATGGAACTGAAGTGGCAGGCAATTTCACGCAGAAAATTATCTGGAAGCAAGGTTCGATGTATGCTGGAGCCAGACTGTAAGGGGACAAATTTTGAACAACCCAGATTTTTCTTCAAACTGAAGCTGCCTCATCTGCTTATCTTTTCTTACTTTCTAGTAGTCTCCCCACTTACCAGTCACACACCGTGAGCCCCCCCACTTCCCACTCCCCAAACCCTTCTGTGCTTCCAGCCAGGGTCCTCATTGTTGGTCCACCTGGAAAGCAAACAGGTAGGGCAAGAACCCCAAGTGATCCAACAGTTTCTGTCAAGCGTTGAACACCTAACAACCTCGAAGAGTAAAAGCAACCGGGCTACTGCCAGTCGGGTTCCGGGTTCGACTCGCTCCAACTGTCCCAGGCTAAATAAAGCCCGGCTCGGGAAATCTCCACCCACTCCTAGCGCGTCCTGTCTCCATCACTCCACCCCGTTCAAGAACGCAGCTCTATGATTGGCTGTGGTGCGTCTGGACACTACCCAATAGCATGCAAGAAGCTACTTCAGCGTCCCTTCTAGGAGGTGTGGTCTCCACGACCCCGCCTCTTTTAAGAACGCAGTCCTATGATTGGCCGTGACGCGTCCTACGGATGACCAATCACACACGGGCAGCTGCTTAGGCGTCTCGGTGCGTGTGGGAGGAACATGGCCGACCGCCTCACGCAGCTGCAAGACGCCGTGAACTCGGTGAGGAATTTCATTCGGTTAGTGCCGGTCTCGCTCTCTTTCCCGAGGTAAATGGAGAGAGAATAGGAGTCCGAGAGATAAAACTCAGAAGTGGGACGGCAGGGCTCCGGCGGTGCCCCCCGGGGCAGGGAGCCGGGCCCGGGCTGTGCGACCCGCCGGTGCTGACTTTTGTCACCGGTGCTTCTGGGACCTCTTGTGGAGAGGGAGGAAAAGCAGCTTTAAAAAAAAAACAAACAAAAAACAAACCAATTTTAACCCGCAGAGGAGGTCCCTTGCCTCTGATGATCGGATCTCTGTCATTAAGCATTAATTGAGTATTTTTTCGCCTGCGCTTTCGTCTTTGTCCAGTCCTGCAGGTCCAGTCTTGTCCCATCTATGGCCCTCCGTCATTGCATCAATGTGGGGAGAACTGACATCTTTATGATTATGAACCTTTGTAATCCTTGCATATCTTTCCACTTGTTTAAGTCTAATAAAAAAAGTTTATCTTCTGTAGAAGTGTAGATCTTGTATCTCCCCTGACATCATTGTTCCTTCAGGTTATTTATTCTTTTTCCTGCTTCTTACGCCGGTGCTGAAGATTATGCAGGCAAATGGCACATCTGTGTACGTATTCCCACCGGTAATTGTATTTCTTAGTGTCATTCTGGTTGTCGTGTGATGTCCCAAGTAAGGTGCTTGCCTATACACGAAACTGCCGCTTGGAAAGTACCTGGTCTCCTGGTCTATTTTTTTTTTTTTTTTTTTCTTCTTCTTCTTCTTTCTTTCCCTGGAAGCTAATAACTTGGCATCCATGTTCATATATCATGCATTTGAATGAACTGTAGGTCTACTTGTGAACAGCTGATCTATGTAAATAAAACACGGGTTTTTAAGGATGAGTTGCTAGGCATTGGTGCATTTCACGCAGGTAAAAATCTACCCTGCGGTGTCTTGCGTGGGCAGCCATCCAACTTCCCTCAGGGAGACACTCCTTTGAGGTTTAACAAACTCGAATTTTTATGATGCTGCCTAATAGAAACGTTCTTTGGGGGACGTTTTTGCAAATTCATATGTCTTGTGACTAGGACAGTAAGGTCAGAGTGAATATGGCTAACTCTAGGGTGGGATAGTAGATGGATTTGAGAGAAGCTTTAAGGTTAACTAGTGTGAGCGCCTGTTATGCATGTGAGCTCTATTGTGTTTACAAAGAGATACTTCTTGAGGCTGGAAACATGTGATATACTCAAGAGATTAAAATGGTGTAACAACAGTGTGGGGCTGGGGAGTTACAATGAATCGAGTGTCTTCAGCTCCTCATGTTGAAACAAATTGGAATACAATTTGCAATATGAACTAAAATAGAAGGAATCAGAGCAGTTAATCAGCATAATTATTATCTGCTAACAGTTGTGCTACTGTGAACAGTTGTGCTACCCTCTGAAAACTGTGAATGCAGAAACTGCCATATTCACTATATCTTTATACAATAATCGCCCTTTTAAAACGTTGTTATTTAGAAACAGGATGTTGCTGCCAGACATGGTGGCAGACCCCTGTAATCCCATGACTGGGAAGGCTGAGGCCAGAGGCTTGCTGTGAGTTCAAGGCCAGCCTGGGCTACATAGTGAGAGCAGGACCCACCTGAACTATATAACAAGATCCTGGCTCAATAAACAAACAGAAGAAAAAAAAAAAGTCTTGCTAAGATGCTTAGGCAGGACTGAAAACTGGCAGTCCTTCTTGCCTTGGATTATAGACACTAACCACCAGGCAGGGCTTCCAAAAAATGGGGGGAGGGGAAGGGTACTGGGGATTGAACTCAGGACCTTGCATTTACCAGGCAGGCATTGTGCCACTGAGCTGTATCCCTGGCCCCAACAAATATCTTTGAATAAACGAATTAATGGATTTTGATTTTTTTTTCTGGACAGGAGAACCACCATGCTGAATATGGTTTTGTGGTTTTTCTATCCTAATGACAATGATATGATATAGAATATTTCAGTTTAAAAGTGAAAAAGCTACTAGCAGCATGAGTATATATATATTATATATTATATATGTATGTATATATAGCTTCTGAGCACTTACTGCATTACAAATAGCAACACGGTGAGCAAAGCTAATCAGGAATTACTTTATAATTAGGCAGGTAGATTAGAGAGAATAGTAGAAAATGAATGAGTTAGAGGTGACTCAGATTATTGAAGGCTTTGAAACAGCGTGAAGATGGGAGTTGTATCCTGAAGAGCGTGGTGGGATGAACTCATTTTTAGAGCAGGGTAAAATACCACAGCGAACCAGAAGGTTACGAGGAGCTTACTTACAGAGGAAGCTCTTGAGTTTGAATTCATCTTTGACATAATGGCACAGAGACGTAGCCCAACTGCTTACTTGCTGACTGGAAATACAAAGAAGATTTGGGGGATGGTAATGAGTGGGAGAAGTTGATGGGGAACTAGAGGAGTGTTTAGTCTGGAGATGGTAAGGAATTAAGGAATGTGGGATTTTTTTTTCCGGAACCAGGGATTGAATTCAGACCCTTGAGCTTGCCAGGGAAGCGCTTATTCTACTGAGCCATCTCCCCAGCCCCTGGAACATGGGATTTTTAATCCTTGTTTTTTGTTTTTTTTTTCAGATGGTCATTTTTTTAAATCCAGTTGTATGATTTATTTTATTTTATTATTTATTTATTTATTTTGTTGTTGTATTTGAGGAAAGGGTCTACAGGGTGTTCAAGGTCTCACTACTAGATGGGACTCATAGTGATGTGCCTGTTTACAGCCTCCCAAGAGCTGGGATTACAGGCTCGTGCCACGCCCAGTCTCTGCTTCTCAGCGTGCCCCCGGGGTGGTGGGGGGGTGGGCACAGCCAGCGCCCCCCCTCCAGCTCCCGGCCCCTGCGCCTGTTTGCAGGTGCTATAATCCATTGAGTTATTTGGCCGTCCCCATAAAGCCTTTAAAACTGCTGACTCCTTTCTTACTTTGATGTGTCTGTTCTGGTCCAAGCTCGCAGATCAGTTTTGTAATGCCATCGGAGTACTGCAGCAATGTGGGCCTCCTGCCTCCTTCAGCAATATCCAGACAGCAATCAACAAAGACCAGCCGGCTAACCCTACAGAAGGTAGGTGTTCTTAGCTCTGCTCAGATTTGTTCTGACATTCGTTATAATCCTTCAAAAATAGATTTATTGAGAAGCAACTTATTTAAGGCTCCTTTCTGAAAATGTTACTTGGCTGGATGTGGTAGTACACACCTGTAGTCCCAGCACTCAGGAGGCTGAGGCAGGAGGATTGCTGTGAGTTTGAAGCCAGCCTGGACTGCATAGTGAATTCAAGGTCAGCCTGAACTACCTAGTGAGACCTTATCTAGAAAAAAAAAACAAAATTGATGATAGTGCAAGTTTTGTCATAAAATAAGTGAATTTATTATAGTCGATTTAAACATTTCATAATTCTGCTCTCATCAAATAATAGATTTTTACACCTTTAGCGCTATGCTTATATGAATTTTGCTGAATTTTCCTTGAAGAACCTTAGTAAGAAAGGTACCTCATCGATAGATTCTTTTTTTTTGTGGCTGGCTTAGCCTGCCCTGGGAGCAGGGCTGGTGTGGCATGTGGTGCCAGGAATGGAAGCGCGGTCCCTGCTCTAGCCTAAGCTTGCTAAAGCAGGTGCTTTAGAACGCTGAGCTATCTCGCTGGCCCATCTCGTTGATAGATTCTCTATTCAGGTGACCACCATATTGTACTAATAAATGAAAGGGGATACATTATGCTTAATTTTTAATTTGAACAAATATTAAATATATGATAGATGTGCTGACTCTAATAACGCTCTTGATAGACTAATTTGTATGTCTCAGTGAGGGGCAGCAAGACTGTCCCATCAGGCAGCTTGTGGTCATCCCATCAGGTGAGACAAGCCCTATGACTGGACGGTCACATGTGTACCACAGGTGGCTCAAATGGGCAGGAATGTGTCAAAGTTCCTTGCACTTTTCTAATTTTATTTTATATATTTATTTATTTATTTATTTAAATGGGAAACTGATTTAATCATGAAAAGTATCTATTCAAATGAGAAAGAAGTACATGTAAAACTTTGCAACACCACTATTCCTCAGAGAAATATTTAAGTGTAAATCTAAAGGAGTTATTATAAAAGGCCAACCTAAAATTAAAGACACTGACAGTATTCAATATTGATGAGAATGTGGGGCAGCTCAAACTCTCGTACATTGTGGAAAGGAGTACAGTTGACATAATGTTGGAAAAATGTCTGGCAACATGCATTAAAGCTACACATAATGCTGCTCCTATGATCTGGCAATTGCATTCTTGCGTTTACATTTGAGAAAATGATAGCTGCAGTCTGGAACACGAATATTTTTTAGCATCATAACTCATTAGAGTCTCCAATTAGAAACAACCCAAATGTCCATCAAGACTAAAATGAAGCCAGTCACGGTGGCTCATGCTTATAATCCCAGCACTCTCTATTCATAGTTGAAAATTTCATACCTGTGCACTTTAGAATATACATCCTACACCTCAAAAGGTCTTCAAAAATAAATCTTTCAATTCACACATTGAAAGAAAAATGTGACTCTTACGAAGTAC